TTCTCCTCCTCCTCCTCCTCCTCCTCCTCCTCCCCCTCTCCTCCTAGGTGGCTCGCGGCGGGCCTAGCCGTTTTGCCCCGCGGCGGGGCACGGCGGGGCCCGCGCGCGATAGCCCCCAGCGCCGCCCAAGGGGTGGGCGCGACGGCGGCGGCTGACCGCAGGGGGCGGTCGCGGTCGCCAGCTTGGCATCGGCGCCTGCGACGCCTGCGCTCGCAGGCGCGCGGGCGCGCCGCCGATGCATGCGGCTGCAGGCGCGCAGGCAGGGCGCGTGGGCGCGCCCGACGCCTGCCAGCACTGCGGCTGCCGCAGAAGTGAGGCCTGGTGGTAGTGGTGTTGCCACTGCAGGCGGCCGCTGGCCCTCATCGGCGACGGCCCGTCTGGCCCTGGTGGCGCTGGCGGCGGCGGCGCAGCTGGCCACTCGCGCAGGCCGCCGAGCCGAGGTGCTGTAATCAGAGGCTGCCCGCCATGGCGCGAGCGGGGCGACGCTGGCAGCGCCTCTGCCAGCGCGCGCGAGCCGTCCGCTGGCCGCGGCCGAGGCGGTCGCCGCGCACGTGCGCCGAGGGGTGCCAGCTCCCTCGCCCTGGCGCCCGATGGAGCCATGGATCCCGAGGAGACCCAGCTCACTCAGCTGGTGGCGCTGCTCCGTCTCAGCGGCGAGGGCCCAGAGGCGGCCAAATACCAGGCGAGGCTCGACGCGTTCAGGGCGCAGCGGGAGGCCAGGCCCATGTCCGTCGACGAGGCCGCCAAGGCCAAAGACGCGGCGGCCGAGTCGCTCCAGGCCGCCCTGCAGAAGGCTGAGGGGGCTGCAGCAGCAGCTGGGTGAAGCCAAGGCGTGCGTGGCGGAGCGCTCCGAGGCCCTCGCGCGCGCCACCGAGGCGTACACGGCGGCGGCGCAGGCGCTGGCGACGACGGTGGCACCGCAGCCCGTGGCCTCGTCGGCGGCGCCGAAGCTCAGCATCTCGGCCGTCTTGGCGGGCGAGACTGCTTGGGCGCTGGACGACGAAGGCCTTTTCGGCCTGGAGGAGCTGGACGGGTTCGTGGTCGAGGACAGCGACCGCCAGGAGGCCCAGCGTCGTCGCCAGGACTTGCAGGACAAGTTCGGCCCCCTGGCGCGTGAGGCCTTCGGCCAGTTCAAGGAGGACGTCAAGAAGTTGGAGGAGGCACATCGTGAGCAGCGCGAACGCCTCAAGACCAAGAAGCGCAGGACGGACGGGGCCGAGAACGGCGGCCCTGCTGCCGAGCGCGCGGCCGCCGCGGCGCCGGCGGCAGCGCGGGGGGCGGACGCCCCAGCGGCAGCCGCGGCGCCGCCTGCGGCCGCGGCTTCGGCGACGGCGGCGGCAGCCGCGTCGGAGGCCCCATGCGCCGCCTCACCCCCAGCCCCAGACGTCCTGGCGCAGGGGCGGGCACGCCTGGCCGCGGCGGGGAAAGCAGCGGGGGGATCTCCGCCAGCCAAGGCAGCCCCGCCAACAGCAGCAGCCATGGGCGGCGGGCGTAGCGGCGGAGCGGCAGCGTGAGCTCCGCTTTGCCCGCCGCACGAGGCGCGGCCTGCGCCGCCGTGCGCCTGCGCATGCGGCGCGCCCCTCGGCGACATGCGCGGGCAGCAGGGCGACTGGCAGGCGGGCTACCCCTTCAGGACGACCAACGACCAGGACCCTGAGCGCAGGCGGGCGCTCGAGCTGCAGTGGGCTCTGGACCATGAGGAGTGGGTGCGCCAGCTGGCGGAGCACGCTGAAGCCATCGCCAGGGAGTCGGACGACCTGGTCAACGGCCGTGGCATCCGCCACGTTATGAACCACACTGGGCTGGAAGTCTACTCGGGGGAGTGCGAGGCCAGCCCTATCTTCTATTACGACAGCGAGACCGTGTCGGCGTTCGGCTACTCAGGGGAGTGCCACGACGCCAACTGGACCTCACCTACCACCACGCCTGTCCTCGCGACCTCTGGCACGAGACGCACGAGAGGACAGCGCATGGGCTAGCCCCGCTACAGCTGGCGCTGCGAGCGAGGAGGAACCTAGCGGCTCCTGGCAGCCGACAGGGGAGCCCGCAGTCGCAGCACCGACGCTCAAGGAACACGTCGGAGGGGATGAACACCTTCGGCCAGGTGTTTCACCCCGCAGCGTGCGGCCCTCTACGGAGGTTGAGCCACCTCGGGGTTCCCGCAGCGCGCTGCCCTCTTCGGAGGTCGAGCCGCCTCGGGCATGGACTGGGTCATCGTTCCCTCCCCGCAGCGTGCGGCCCTCGTCAGAGGTCGAGCCACCTCGGGGCACCCGCAGCGCGAGGCCCTCCACGGAGGTCGAGCTGCCTCGGGCACGGACTGGGACATCGGCCCCCAGGGGCAGCTGCGACACCATGAAGGTCATGACGGTGAACGTCACGGGCTGGGGCTGTTGCCTTGAGCAGCTGGAGCGCGGCCACGTCGATGACGAGGCCCAGGCCATCCTGCTGCAGGAACACCGCCTCCACGACGACCTACGACTGGCAGCGGCGGCGCGCGCAGCTAAGCGAGCGGGCTGGGTGGCTGACCTCATCCCAGCGACCGCCACGGCAGCTGGCGGCGTTTCCTCAGGCGTGGGGATCTTGGCGCGGCCGTGGGCGCGGGTTCGACGCGTCGAGTTCAGCGACGACCGCATCTCCATCCGCTGCTCGGCTCGCATGGGATTCTGGATGACCTCGCTGGGCTCGACAGCGGGCGCTCTCATGGTCCCGGCGCATTTCCACACCAACCAGGACTTGAGCGATTTCAACCTGGACATGCTCACCAACCTGGGCTCAGTCATCAGGGCCATGCACCGCCCCTTCGTCGTGGGGGCCGACTGGAACATGCTGCCTGACGTGGTGAATGAGGCCCACCTGCCCCATGCCGCGGGCGCACGGCTGGCGTGTTCGGGAGAGGCAATTTGCATCACGGCGACGTCGGCGCGGGAGCTCGACTACTTCTGTGTGGACGTCGACACGCCCGTCCAGAGCGTCAGCAGGTGCGACTACTCCGACGTCAGGACGCACCGCGCGGTCCTCCTGCAGCTGGCGCTTCCCAGACCTGGTGGGCTGGCGACGCGGGTGCACAAGGCCCGCGCTTTCCCTGCCCAGGCCCTGACTGGGCCTCAGTTGCCTGGACCTGACTGGGCTGACAGTCATGCCGACCTGGACTCAGTCACCACGCCTGCGAGCCTCGAAGCCGCATGCGCGAAGGTCCTGGACAGGTACGAGGACGAGATGCTGAGGCACTTCGACCTGGAGGGCACGCGTGAGGCCAGCAGGTACATCGGCAGGAGCGGGGGCGCGAAGCTGGTCCAGACGCAGCTGGAGCGCCACCGTTCCAGCAGCTGGCAGCCCACCGAGCGGCCAGACCCAGCCGATGCACACTGGAGCTGGCTGGCGGACAGGGCGCAGGAGTGGCGGCTGCTGCGGGCTGGGGGGCAGGCCGCGCGGGCCCACGCTAGGAGCTTGCAGGTGGAGCTCCTGCGCTTCAAGCCACCCGTTCCTGGCTGCGAGCAGACGGCGCGGCACACCTGGCGGCGGCTGGTGCGGCGCCTGCATCGCCCCACCGAGGTCGAGTGCGACGAGCTGCTGGCCCTCCTATGCCATTAGGCGGTGACGGCAGCAGGGAGAGCGTCGTGCAGGCGCTACAAGGCCTGGCTCGACAGGACGCGTGACGCCACTGCAGCGGATGGCATGCGCAAGGCGTTCCGCTGGATCCGCGAGCCTGGCCCATGGGAAGCGGCACGCTGGTCGCCAGCGGTGGGGCTGCAGACGGCACAAGAGGCGGCGGACGCGGCCATCAGCCCGCGGCGCGCCCTGTGGAGCCAGGGCGAGGGGCTGGAGGCAATCCGATGGCCCAGGGAGCTTAGCGATCCCCCCCCTCTGCCGACGCCCGACGAGCTGCGGAAGGTGGGCCACTCCTTCCCGCGCATCACGGGCCTAGGGGGCGACGCCTTTCACCCGCGGCACGTCACTTTCCTGTCGGACGGCGCGCTGGTGGCCCTGACAGCGGTCTGGCGGCACATGCTGGCCCTCGGTCATGTGCCGAAGGCGTTGGCCGTGCTGCAGATGGCGCTCATCCCGGAGGCCGAGCCGGGGTTCCGCACCATCGGGTTGTTCGCAGGCTCCTTGAGGCCATTCACGCGCTGGACGCGCGGCACGCTTGGCGCCCGTTGGACCAGCGACCACCAGAGGGACTACGTCTACGGCACAGCTGGCCAGAGCTGCGAGACGTGCGTGTGGATCCAGGCGGCCAGCGCAGAGGTGGCGACTCACCGCGGGCAGGCGTCCTGCACGGTGCTCATGGACCTCTCCAAGGCCTGCGAACACATCCCTTGGGCGCTGCTGGTCGCGCGTGCCCGCGCAATGGGCTTCAACTTGATGCTGATGAGGATGCTCGTCGGGCTGCACGCCCTGCCGAGGCTGGTCACCGCGGGCGGCGTCGCCATGGGCTGGTACAGCCCGAAGCGCGGAGTGGTGGCAGGCTGCAGCTTCGCCGACCTTTGCACGCGCATCTTCCTCGTCCCGCGGCTGGACGAGATCGCGGCGCTCCGCACGGTGGACGCGGGCAACGCTGTCGACGACATCCAGCTCAGCAAGGTCGGGCCACCCAGAGCCGTGGCGGCCAACGTCAGCGCAGCCTACAAGATGATTCGTGACGACCTCTCGGCGGACGGGCTCGTCGCCAACGACGGCAAGGGCGTTGCGCTGTCCAACTCGTCCGGCTGCGGGCGCGAGGTCACGAGACGCTGCCGCCCCCTGCGCGGCAAGCTCAAGAGCTCGGCGAGGAACCTGGGCATCGACTTCGCCAGCGGGCGCCGCGCGGGAGTGAGCACGCGAGCCAAGCGCACTGCCACCGTCCTGCGCCGCGCTGGACGCATTCGTGTGCTCCGTGTGTCTCGAGGGAGAACACGGCAGCTGGTCAGCCTCGGGCTGACCCCAGCGGGATGTTGGGGAGTGGGGGTGGCTGGGAGGGCGTGGAGTGGGATCGTACCGATGAGGCGTGCAGCTCACTCGGCCCTGTTTGTGCACACCGCTCGGCGCTCTCTCGACGTCGACCTCCACCTACCCCTGCCTCCCCGTGGTCGGCGGACCCCGCCTATGCATGCACTGCAGGACCCATTCTCATGCTGGCTCGGGCGATTTGGTCCTCGTGGACCCCTAGGGACTCGATTGCCAGGCTGATGTTTGCGTCCGAGGCCGCTTTCCTGGCCGACCCGTCCAAAAGCGACTGGCCCCTTGTTAAGGGCCCGATCTCTGCCGCCGTCGCCAGCTGCCGTCGGATAGGGTGGAGGCTCGGCCCAGGAGCGTGCATGCTTTTAACACACACGGGGGAAAAATCTACCTCACTCGTCTCTGCCCCCGTTCAGTGCTGCACGTTGTCCGATTTGATATTGAGGACTGGCTGTTGGATCGTGCTCAAAGGGGTTGCGAGTTCTTGTCGAGCCTCTCTCACCGCCCCTATCTATTTCCCCTCCGCAGGCTCTGCAACGGACCGTGCGGCCCCGACTGGGCCCCTCGGCACCAGGCCAGTCTCCGTGCGATTGCTGCGAACGGGATCTGGGACCAGGCTCGGAAGTTTCGACATGGTCTGACGACCGACCCGTCGCGCCCCCTGTGTGGATGTTGCCCAGGCACCTTCGTCGCGTGGATCGCGGGAGAGTGCCTGGCCACATGGCAGTTCGTGCGAGACTACGACCTCCCCCCCCTCCGTCTGGCCGGGTCTCCGTGAGCACCCCGACTGGGCCCTCTGGAGGCATGGCCTGGTTCCCGACCCTCGGCCTTGGGTGCCTGGTCCGTCTCTCTCCCTCGTTGCCCACTGGATCAAGCGCCCGCTGGACGGCCACTTCGAAGGCGAGGCCTTCGGCGACGGCTCGCGCGCAGCTCTGGCGCAGGGCGACCAGCGCCTCAGTCGGGCGGGCCGGTGTGTAGTGCAAGTTGACGCCCGAGGGACACTCGCGGCGTCTTTGCGCGGCCTGCTGCCTGGTTTACACCAGGCCTCGGACCTGGCTGAAGCGCACGGCCTGCTCATGTACCTCACGCGCGTTTCGCTTGGCCCCTTCCGCTACCACACGGACTGCGAGTGGCTGGTCTCGAGCTTCCAGCGCGGCCGAGTCGAGACCACGGGTGCCTCGTGCGAGGGTGCTGACGTGTGGTCTCAGATATGGGATCGGGTGGGCGACTTGGGGGGGGGGAGGTGCTGAAAGTCAAGGGCCACGTGCAGGAGCAGGGTGCGGTCGCGAGGTGGGGAAACCATCGCGCAGATGAGGGCGCTCGCGTGGGCGCTGCCCTGCATCCGTCGGATGCCGAGGCGAGCGCGCGCGTGCAGCGCTCATTCAAGCTGGTCACATTTGTGGCCAAGTTTCTGGCTAGGACCCTGCAGGCTGTCGGCCCCAAGTCGCAGTCGGCGCCTCGCCACGGGCAGCTGCGGCGGGCGCAGAGACGGGGGGCGACGCCCGCCCTCTCGGCGGACACGGAGCCGCCCTCAGGTGTGCATGTGCCCGTGCCCGCGTCCAATGGAGGTGTCAGGTGCGCGAGATGCTTTCGTGTAGCTCGGCACCGCGAGGCCTTCGACCCTCCCGCGTGTGCCCCAGGCGGAGGACACCGCGTCTGGCACGTGGGCCAATTCGTCTTCTGCGCCAGTTGCGGTGCGCACTCGAGCGAGAATGCGCAGCTGCTGGCGCAGCCTTGCCACGGAGGTGTGCCCCCCAAGACGCGCTTGCGTTTGGGCCGTCTCTGGGAGGGCCTCCACCCACGCACTGGGCGGCCGCTGCTGCCTTCTGCCAAGGGTCAACTGAGGTCACGCCCATTCGGCGAGGTCGTCATCGACGCCACCTTCGGGGGCTTGGCTGTGGTCGACGACGATCATGCCGAGTAGGGGTGGCCTCCTGACCCGTCCTCGTGTGGCACTCCCTTCGGGAGGTGCCCGAGCTCTTTCCCCTTTGTGTCAGGCGTTTGCCTGAGTCTGCTTGCGTCGCCTGCGCACGCTTGTGGCCCCGTCTGGGTAAAAACTCCCCCTCTCCTCCTCCTCCTCCTCCTCCTCCTCCTCCTCCTCCTCCTCCTCCTCCTCCTCCTCCTCCTCCTCCTCCTCCTCCTCTTCCTCCTCCTCCTCTTACTCTACTCCTACTCCTACTCCTACTCCTCCTCTTCTCCTCCTCCTCCTCTCCTCCTCCTCCTCCTTCTCCCCCTCCCTCTCCTCCTCCCTCTCCTCCTCCTCCTCCTCCTCCTCCTTCTCCTCCTCCTCCCCCTCCCCCTCCTCATCCTCCTCATCGTCCCCGTGGAAGAGGCCGAGAGGTCCGGGGACCTCGCATGGAAGAGGCAAGGCGTCGGAAGTCTGGGTCTTGAGCGATGGACATGCGCCGTGTCTCGAATAGAAACTCATTGCGCCGAACTCGGGTAGGACATCACACTGTGAACAGGGCATGCTCTGCAGACAGGGGGTATCGTAAAAACTAGAATATGCAACTGCAGGCAAGATAATATGGCACGATCGGAAAGCATACCCCCAACACGTCAGTCCCTGCAGTTTCATGCTAAGGACCATACCTCCTCAGTTCAGTGTTGAGGGGTCCCATCAACCTGCTCTACATCATCCTGCTCCCTTGTCCTCCCTCCTAGTTCCTCTCCCGCCTGTTCACGCCATTCCCCGTCTCGTCGCTTCATCCCTCCTACATCCTTCCACCTGCTCCTCTGTTTTCGGGATGTTGGGTCCTCGTTTTGAAGAGAGAGCCCCGCGTTCCTTACATCCCGCCCTTCCCTTTTGCTGCCCCCCTCCCTCATTTCATCTCTGCCTCTGCTTTCCGCGTGCCCATTTCGGTAAACCCTTCTCTCGCTTGGTTTCCCTTTAGGGGGCTCCACCTAAGACCCAATTGCCAGCGTTCGCATGGCGGCGCCGCCTCATGCCTGCACACCCCTCACACGCCTCGTGGCCCCATAGGGAGCTCCACCCATGCCCAAATGCCAGCGTTCGTATGGCGGCGCTGCCTCATGCCGGTACATCCTTCACGCGCTTCGTGGCCCCACAGGGAGCTCCAACTAAGGCCCACATGCCAGCGTTCGCATGGCGGCGCCGCCTCATTTTGGCACATCCCTCACGCGCTTCATTGCCCCATGGGGAGCTCCAACGAAGGCTGGAATGATAGCGTTCGCACGGCGGCGCCACCTCTCGGGTATAGTCAGGACCCCAGGTAACTAAGGGGACCCAGTTAGGATTCGGGCCCCGGAGGCCCTAAATCGGCCAGAATCTGCCACAGCTGGTTTTTTTTTCCGGTGACGGCAGTTCCCGTTAGTGGGCCGGGGCGGGGGGGGGTGGGCGTCCCCCAGTACGCATCCTTAAACCAGGTCCCACTAAACCCAATTCTGCCAACTCCCGAACCTCCTTTCGGCCGAACCTCATTTCCGCAGCTATCCTTCGCACTACGTTGGAGCAAAGGGTACAACGATAGCCCCCCGAGGCACTGCGCTGGCTTAGCGGTCGCAATGTTTCACGCCTTCGTGCATGCACGTTCGCATATGTTTCCAGCCAGATCTTGCCAATGCGCCGTCAGGGCGCGGCTTTTGTATGTATGTATGCATGCATGCATGCATGCATGCATGCATGCAGGGAGGTAGGTAGGTAGGTAGGTAGGTAGGTAGGTAGGTAGGTAGGTGTATGTATGTATGTATGTATGTATGTATGGATGGATGGATGGATGGATGGATGGATGGATGGATGGATGGATATATGTATGTATGTATGTATGTTTGTATGCATGTATGTAACTATAGATGCATGTATGTATGTATGTATGTATGTATGTATGTATGTATGTATGTATGTATGTATGTATGTATGTATGTATGCATGTATGTGTGTATGTGTGTATGTGTGTATGTGCATGTATGCATGTATGCATGTATGCAGGTATGCATGTATGCATGTATGCATGCATGCATGCATGTATGCATGTATGCATGTATGCATGTATGCATGTATGTATGTATGCATGCATGTATGTATGTATGGATGTGTATGCAGGTATGTAGGTATGTAGGTATGTAGGTATGTAGGTATGTAGGTAGGTAGGTAGGTAGGTAGGTAGGTAGGTAGGTAGGTAGGTAGGTAGGTAGGTAGGTAGGTAGGTACTCACGCTTCGTGGCCCACTGGGGAGCTCCACCAGCGGCGCCAGCGCCAGCGCCCGCCTGGCGGCACCGCCCAGTCTCGGCACACGCCTCGCGCGCTTTTTGGCCCCCTCGGGAGCTCCCCCCCTCTCGCCCCGCCCTGCCTTGCGGCACTCACTCCTGCACATGGTTGGGCCTCCAGATTTCGTAATAAAAGGGAGGGGGTCTGGACCCTCCAAGACAAGCCATTTCAGACCTCCCCCGTGGGAGAACCCTCCACAACACCGTCCCCAGACCCCCCAGGCCCTCCAAGATAGCCTGGAAGAGACCCACCCCCGAAATGAGACCCCCCCCACTTTATTATGGAATCTGGAGTAAGCGTCTTCTTCCCCTCGGCGCCACGGTGCTAGCGCCCCGTTGCTAGCGGGACCGCGCCCCGGCGCGCAGGGACCGCCCGTCCGTCCGTCCGTCTTCTCTTCTCGTCGTTTTCCTTCCTCCCTCGTCCTTGTTCTTTTCCCCTATCCTTCGTTCACTCCATCCTCCCCCCACCTTCCTCGCTCCTTCCCTTTCTCTCCGCCCTCCTCCCTCCTCGACTCAGCCGTGGCGCAACATGTTTGCCACACCTGCCACCTGCGCCACCGGGGGCGGAAAAGAGGGAGTGATGACTAGGGGGGGGAGATATCATGGCGGGGGCCATGATATTTCCCCAGATTTCATGGCGCCTCTTCTTATCCCATTACGTCCCTGGCCCCCCCGCTGGGCCGCGCACATGCCGCCGGTCATGATTTGCCCCCCCCCCTCTTGGACACCCCCCTCTTGGCCGCTCCCGAGTGTGCACGGCACGGGTGGCGCTCCAGGCCACTTCCGCCACCACACCCGTGCAGAGAGGCGGGCGGCGCCACTATTGCCACTTATACACCACCACGGACGGCGTCCAGGTGGTGGCGCGCAACACAACTCAGAGACCCAACGAGTCAACGAGTTGTCAGAGCCCCGAATCATCAGGGGTAACTCGGGTCAGGGCTAACTCGGGTTCGCATTTCGGGATTCCGAACCCGAGTTACCCCAGACCCGAGTTACCCCGGATAATTCGGGCGTGCAGAGCCCCAACATCATCAGGGGTAGGGTAACTCGGGTCGGGGCTAACTCGGGTTCGCATTGCGGGAGTTCAAACCCGAGTAACCCCGGACCCGAGTTACCCCGGATCACTCGGGCGCCCAAAGGTGTGTGCCGAAGACGTCCCGCCAACACGCAAGACATCCGCGGCGACGCAGGGCGAAAGCTGGTGGTGCCACGGCCTGCCCATCGACAGGCGCGCCCCCCTGGCCAGAAGGGCGCGGGCTCCCCACGAGACCCTGGGGCTCTCAGGTCCTGGGCGCGCTCGCCCCGCGGCCTGGCCGAGGCCACCGTGCCGCCCGACCCGCGCGCGGCACACGCCGCGCGCCACGGCCCCCCCGAGACCCGAAGAGGGTGAGCGGCATGGGTTCCGCCACCCTGCCTCGGGGGTGGACAGAACCCCCAACGGTGACGCGTCGACTGGTGAATTGTCCGTTTTCGGTGCTCGAGAGGGCGCCGTGACCGTTATTTTCCAGGCTTGCGCCCACCAGGTTTGGGCCTCAGGTCGTTTTCACTAAACCACGTTTTACTAAAGGGGGGTCTGTCCATCCCCGATAGGAGCCCTTCATCGTTCTCACGATGACCCTGCAGTGGTTGGCTCCTACCCCCCTGCTCCTGCCCCGGTCGGTCGGTCGAACGGTGTCGGACGCAATCGTGCTCACTCGTCGGAGCATTCGGCGAGGAAACTGGCGGGACAGTATGATGTGGGCAGGAGAAGTGCAGGAGAAGTATGATGATGATGGGGGTCTGTCCATCCCCGACTGCCGCTCAGTGCCGACCACTGCACTGTCCGCTCGCTGAGGCGCCGGGGGCGCGCGGGCAGGGGGCACCGCGATAGAGAGAGGCGGGGCCGCCCGGCGCTGCCCAGTGCAGCGGCCGGCCTCCCCTTCTGAGAGACGTGCGGGCCGGGCGAAAGGGGGGGATTGGGAAAGGGGGGGTTACGAAATTTGCTGCATGCAGCTGGTTTCGGCCTCACCGAGGGGCCCATTCCTCGATACATGGCCGCCTCTGGCGCCGGGAGGCGCTGGGAAAGTCAGCTACGTGAGCCGATTCTCAAACCCCCCCCTTTGCTATCCCCCCTTTCGCCCGACCCGAGAGACGTGCACGGGGTCGGGGTCCGACGTGCTCGGGCCAATCCTGGCAACCCAGGAGGCCCAAGCGTGCCAGACTTTGGACCTGGCCTCGTGGGCCACTCTGAGAGGTTCGGGAACTCGAGACCGGTCACAGTGCCACCTGGGCCCACTCCTCAGCCAAATCATTGCCAGCCTCATGCCAAGCGCTGGTGTTCACCCGAGCTCACACCTGAATCCAGAGCTCGATCCACGCCGACTTGGAGTAAACGCAATCCGCGCGACCGCGCAGGTACAGCCCATCATGCACGAAGGCATTGTCAGAGTAAAAGACCGTGCCTGGACTGGCATTTTGAAGGCCGCGCCAGAGAGCAACAAGCTCGGCCGCATCTCGGTCAGCACATGCAAGCTCGAGCGTGCCGCAGGAAACGGACAGCGTGCTATGCGTGTCGGGGTCAACCGCCACAAACGCCCAGGCCAGTACATGCGAAGGTCCAGGAAGGCGATGGTCCATCCAGGACCCGTCTAAGAATGCGTGCCCTCCGCAGGCCACCCCCCCGAACCATCGCAAGGGAGGGGCAGAGGAGCGGTGGAGAACGGCAAGCGGCACAGGCAGCTTCTCATCGGCGAAGAGACGAGGCAGAGGGCCAGCCGAGGCGCGCACAGGACGATCAACGACATCGGGCGGCTGATGGTCAGGCAGCAGCTCGTCGTGGCGCCCTGAAGCGGCATGAAGATGCAGAAGTGTGCATCGAGCGTCCACGCACGCTCGGCAGAGCGGGCCCTGCACACGCCCAGCATCCCATCGGCGATGGCGAGGCCACTGCTCGCCGACCGCCGCCGAGCGGAGATCTCCAGCCTCCTGCAGGGGGGCGGAGGAACCTTGCAAACGAGTGCGATGTCGAGCAAGGATGGAGCATTTTTCAAAATCAGGCACCCCTCTCTCTCTCTCTCGACGACCTTGCACCACAGCCAGTATTCAAAGACAAGATGCAGCCATGCTCTGACAGTGCGCGGAGATTGCTCGATCCATCTAATAGCCCCCCCCACCTCACATGGCCCCAGAGAACCATCAATGGTGATACAGTACATGGCCCCAGAGAACCATCAATGGTGATACAGATCCATTGGGCAGTGGGCGCAAGCGGTGAAAGGACCCCGAATCGAAGCCTGAGGGCTCCCATGATCCGGAAACGCAGCCACGGCGGAAACAAGCCCCGCAGGGGCTCATCCCACACAGGAGCAGCGTAGGCAACTCAATGCTCGACTTGCAGGCCGTAAGCAGGATCGCACCAGCGTCTAGGCGACAACATGAGCATGAGAGAGATGTTTTTTTCCCGCGAGGCTGAACGACTGCACGTGCGCCAGCATCGCACGCGCTTCTCGAAGCGCTGTGCTGCTGGAGCCATGCCCTGAACCCTCATGCTTGACGGAGGCCATGACAGCTGCCTGCAGCATGGTGTGCACACGGGCCTGCTCGACACGCTTGACAACGTGCAACAGCTTGCACGCCCGAGCTCGCGCTGGGCCTCGGCGCCCTTGCCTGGTCCTGCGGTGGAGGACAGCAGCAGCAAAGACATCGATCCCCATGTTGCGCTCATTCCATGGCGCCCTGGACTTTGAAACGCGCAGGGCAGGCCTCTGTGCCAGCTGACCTCTGTGCGGCGAAGATGAAGCGACGACCCGACTCTTCGAGCGACGAGCAGATGTTTGTTTTGGAGCTCACTGGGCATATATTGCGGGCCTCAACCAGCAGTTCTGACCAAGAGCAGCCAGTCATGACGACGAGTCGCGAGTTTATGTGTTTCTTTTTGAGATTATTTGAGAGGCTTTCGGATCTAATCATCCCAGTGTCCCCAACCCAAGTGTCGCGTCATCTTCGCGTCGCGTTCGCATTGTGATGATTTCTACGTGACAGAAGTGTCGCGCCAAAGTCGGGCGCCCCCCGAATTGCGTTACCGCGCAAGCATCTTTTGGACATGTTCTTCTCGCTTTGCTTGGCAGTGTTTTGCATGTCTGGGCATTGGTTTACATTGCTTTGTCCTGCTGCTTGGCGCTGCTCGGTGTTCTTGGCATGCTTTGCCATTGGTTGGCGTCGTTTGGCATTGCCTGGCACCGGTTGCCAGGGCTTGCCAGGGCTTGCCAATGCTTTGGTATTGACTGGCGTTGCCTCTCAGTGGTCTGCGCTGCTCGGCAGCGCTCTGCGCTGCCTCGCGTGGCCTGGCACTGCCTGGCACTGCCCGGCAGTGCTCAGGCACTGGACTCGGGACTCCCCGCGGCACTCGAGCAACCCAAAACACGTCGGGAAAGCATCCCGGGGGGAATGGGGGGAGCAGGAGGAGGAAGGAGGATCGGGGGCGGCAAAGAGGGGGGGTGATGACTAGGGGGGGGTGGACATCAGGGCGGGGGCCATGATATTTCCCCAGATCTCATGGCGCCCCTTCTTATTTCATTACGTCCCTGGCCCCCCCGCTGGGCCGCGCACATGCCGCCTGCCATGATTTGCACCGCCCCCTCTTGGACACCCCCCTCTTCGCCGCTCCCGAGAGGAGGCGGTCTTTCAAATGGCGAAACATCCGAGCACCCACCGAAGGGGCGGGGGGAGGAAAAGGGGGAGAGAGGGGGAAGGGGAAGGGCATGACGTGGGAGTGATGCCGGGAACGTCCGAAGGACGTCCCCGACGGGGAGAGGGAGGAGGAGGGTGGAGGATGGGGCGCAACAGAGGCCGAACATGGTTGGAAGGCGTCCACGACGGAAGAGGAAGGGAGCAGGAGCAGGACGATGGAGGATAAGGAGGGTGAGGTTTCGGGCCAACGCGGTCCGCAAAGATAATAAGAATGCAACACTTCACGAGGGAGGGAAGGAGGAGGAGTGAGAAGGAGGGAACAGGAGGGACGATGACGTCCAGGACATCTCGAGAACGGCCCCAAAAACCATGAGGACGGAAGGAGGGAGAAAGGGAGGAAGAAGGGGGGATGGTGACGAGGTCAAACAGATATCGGAAGCGCCCGAAATGACGAAACCTACAGGAGGGGGAAAAGCGGAGGACGGGGATGGAGATGGATGAAGTCCAGCATTTGCTGAAGGAGTGTGAAGCATCTCGGGGGGGAGGGGGGATAAGGAGGACAAGGGAGTAAGGAGGAGCAACATTAGTTGGAATGATGATATGCCCATCATCCAAAAAGCAAAGATGGAAGAAGACGAGGAGAGAGGAGGACGAGGGGGATGAGGACGAGGAGGGAAGAGGACGACGAGGGAGAAGGACGAGGAGGAGGGAGGAGGACATGCAGGAGGACTGAGCCCACCCAGGTGGCCGCGTCCAGCCGCGGCGACGCGCGCGGGCCACCGCGCGCGGGGTCTCGAGCACGACCCCGAGTTGCCCCTAACGGCCAACAGTGGACGGAAAGGACCCTCAGTGGCCCACAGCCACTCTCGCACGCGACCGGGAACATCCAACAGCTCCCTCCGAGGGGCGCCCCGGATTCATCAACAAGAACCCTCCCTTGGGGACGCCCGGGCTTCATCCCAAAATCGCCCCCTGCGGGCATCCATAACAAAATCCCAACCCAAAACGACTCTGGATTAGTTTTGGGATTCCGTTTTCAATTTCCCATCTAATTTTCCTTCCAATTTGTTTACATATTGCTGTGGACGAGGCAGAACTTGGATGAGAAACTGGATTTGATTTCCGGATCGGTTTCTGGGAGGTCCGCGGGCGTCGTCGCCGTCGGCCTTTGCCGAAGGGCCCGTTCCGACACCCCGCTAGCAGCCTGCGGCGACCACTCACTCCAAGGCAGACGACCCCCATGGAGCCTTGCAAATCTCCACCCACCAAACCACCCCAACCCAACCCGAAGGGTCGGATTTACCCTCGATTTCTAGTGGGGGGGGGTCCGGGAACGTCGAAAAAACACATATGGAGCCCATATACCCCCCCCAACCCGAAATTCGGGTCTTCGGGTTGGGTTGGGGTGGTCTGGTAGGTAGTCAGCAAAGGCTGCCTCCAGGTCCCCCGCAGCCTCCCCGGAGCCTCCGAAGCCACCCACGGCGCCCCGAGAACCCCTGCGGCCTCCGAGGAGGCCCCGCGTGACCACAGAGCCTAGAGCTGAGGCCGAGGCTGCGAGGGGCTCCAGGAACGCCCCAGACCCCGTGGCGCCCCCGAGCACACAGTCGGAGCCCAGGTGAACCCCCCGTGGCCTCCGAAGCCGGCCCTTCAGCCCACGCTGTCGGCTCACAGCCTCCACGCGGTCCTGGGCCGCCAGGGCCAGGGCATCCTGGAAAGGCTCGCGGGCCCCTCTTCAGTCACCGCGGCCGACCCTGGCCTGAGGCGGCATCCGACGCGCGGCCGCTGGAGCCGCCCGGCGAGAGGCCTCCCGGAGACGCACAGCTGCCCGGGGGCCTCCGAGGCCCGGGGTCCACGGACCCCCCCCCCGGAGACTGCAGCAGCTTCCTACCACTCCTCATCGTCGTCGTCGCCGTCGAAAAACGCTGTCTCCCGGAAGGGCTCCCGCCGTCGTCGAAAAACGCTGCCGTCGGAAAGCGTCGAAGAACGAAAAACGTCGTCGTCGCCGTCGAAAAACGTCGCCGTCGGAAAACGTGGGGACCTGTGGGGGCCCGGGGCCCCCAGAGGCCCCTGGAGGCTGCAGGTGCGCCCCAGAAGGAGTGCGGGTCGTTTTGCTCCTCCGCTTCCGGGCGCGGGCAGCACCAGTCTCTTAAGCAGCACGCGCCGGAATATTTCGATGCGGCTGCGAACGACGGCAGGGCCTCCAGCCGCCATTGCCGCTATTTCCGCGGGCTCCACGACCGACCGAGCGCGTGAGGCCCAGTGTATGGCCGCACCGTCGCTGTGAAGGCAACGGCGGAAACCACGTTCCATTCTGGCGCACCAGAATTCAATAATGACAGCCACGTCGTCGGTGTATGTCTTTGCGTTCAGAGTGATGCGCTGCATCCTCGCGGCCCGAAAGAAGTCTGACGCCCGCGCAGGGCGCGCACTGGACCGCGATGGGAGTCGCACGCGACCCCGAGATGCTCGAGCGCCAAACGCCCTGCATGCATGGATCAACAGAACGCGTCCTCGACGTCCCGTACGACACCGGTCGCGTGACTTCGAGCACGCCAGAACTCGAACAGCGCGGCTGCCCGAAGCACGCGAGCGCTGATGTTTGTGTGGCGGTCCCTGATGTGCTCTCACATCAAATATTCAAATATTCAAATATTCAATCCTGTGCGGCGCCCTGGCGGGCTCGGCACCCCCGCGCCAGGGGACCTCCCCACGGCCGTGCCAGTGTCAGACTTTCACCAAAAGCAGACCTGCGCAATGGGCTTCAAATCGGCGCCCTAACAAAAGTATGTCCCATCCCCGTAGGAAAAACATCGCACAGCACCGCCGCATCTGCGACCTAGCGCAATAATGGATCGTCCAAGAAAGTAGGACTCTAGGCGAAGCGTTTCGCGCGCAGAGGGCGCCGCCTTGTTGGCGGCGGGCCGCGCGACCTTTCGATCTGAGCATACATGGATGACAAGGTTCTGAATGCTGTTCAGACGAGGTCAACCAGGCCCTCGAGTAGGTCCTGCAGCTCACCAGCTTGGCGCAGCCCATAGTTGTTAACGTCGACCCCGAGCCGTCTCCGCGACCTGGCCCACAGGTCCGAGAAGTACCATCTGCAACATCAGGGTGGCAAAATGACAGCCTGGCAGCGCGGCCTGCAACGAGCTCCTAGGCGATGACACAGCATCGTCTAACGAGAGGACCCTGGGCATCCGATAATGCTCGACGAGCAACTTCAACTGGCGCTTTGGAAACCCCCGCTGGCTGGCCGCGCGCAGACGCTTGCCGCGCCGATTATGATCGAACGCCTTCTCCAAATCCGAAATAGCAAGCCCGCTGGAAAAGACGCGCCTGCGCGCCCATTCCGAGCGAGCGGCCTGAACCCAACCGTGCTTGTCACGGCCGCGGACGCGGATGCCCCGCCAGCAAGGCCACGCGCGGTCGGCTCGCCAGCGCGCGCGCAGCGGGCTGCGTGGCCCACCTTGCACGCGGGCCATTGCGAGGGCGAGCGCAATTAGGCGGACCCCGCCCGCGCTCTTGCCAAGAACAACGATATTGGTGCAGACCTCCTGCACATCGCGCGGCTGCTCAATGTCTCCGACGATTTCAGAGAAAGCTTGCAGGGCCCGATCCGAAAACGCCCATCTGATCGAAAGTGCAGCCGTCGGGAACGACCACTGCGCGCGTCTATGATTTTCCTTGCATGGTAGCAGAAGTGGCCAGCCTAGATCAGCGCGTCAAACGGCGCCCCCCCCCCCCCCCTTCCGTCCACCCTCTTCTTTCCTCCGTTGCCTTCTTAGCTCGAGACCGAATGTTCTTCGGGGCCAGAGCGGGCGCCTCTGGTCCGACGTCGGCTTACTGTGGCGCGCAGCTCCATGGGCGCGCGCCCCCTGTGGGTGAAAAGAGTTACCCGGCCCGGGCAGTGTCCTGGCGCCGCGCATGAGAGTCCGGAGTAGGGGTTCCAGAGCCGCAGCGATGGCGACGAACGGCGCGGGGGCGACGCTGCGACGGTCGAAGCGCTCTCATGGGGAATGTGCCTGGCACGGGGTCGCGAACAACTGGGCGCGCAGGGCGCAGCGAAGGCGCGGCGTTCGAGCGCCGCGACGCGCCGTGTTCACGGCGCGCCGGGGAGACAGGAAGGCCGCGGCAGCTGCGGACGAGAAGGAGGAGACCATTTCTCCTTTCTGCGGCGAGCTCAACTCCGTCGCAGCTGGAGCTGCGGGCCATGCCGCATACGGATTTGCAGAGGGAGCTGGCGGCGCTGCGCGCGCAGGTTCAGCAGTTCAACGCCGAGCAGGTCACGGGGGCGGCCCCGGGCGCGACCTCGTCAGCGGCCGACGCTGCGATGGAGCTTGGCGCCGAGGGGCACGGCGCGAAGAATGGCCTCGCGGATGCCGGGGCCTAGCGCGCTAAACTGCAGGAGAGAATCGCCCACTGCGAGCCGTTCGCCGCGGGCCCCTGTCCTTGCGGATTCGGAGAGCGACCCGCAGCGCAGATCAGGGCGGCGAAGCATGTGTCGCAGCGGCAGAGGCATCGACGGCGCCAGCGACATCGGCAACTCTCCTACAGGTCGCCATCCCCGCGTTGAAAGAGGCCCCTGATGTCCAGACCTTCCGCCAGCAGTTCACGTCCGACCCGCGCATCGGGGCCCGCCAGCAGATGCCGGCCAAGCGCGTCGCCTGCGCGGCCGCCCCGCAGGGTCCAGCCATCGGCGAGGAGGCTGGCGCGGACGGTGTTGACGCTGATATTGAGGACAATCCGGACACTTTCAAGCGCGGGCCCGATGTCGTTGCGCCACTGCGCGCGGCCATCGCCCAGAAGACGCGCGAGAGTTCACGAAGGCTGGCTGGCCCCGACGCAGGCGAGACCGAGGGGCACTTGGTCGGGCGGCTGCGCAGCATGGTCGCTGAGCTGCGCATGGCAACGCTCCGTCGGGCCGCTAGCCACCCGCAGCCTGGCACGGGGTGTAGAGCGCCATTGGCTCCGCGCGAGTGGGCTGCGACAGAGCCGCGGAGAGCTGCGCACCGTCGATGCGCCAGCTAGCTCTGTGCAGTCGCACTTGCTCGAGGCTTCGACGCCGAGCACGGCGGGCCGACCTTGGGGCGACGGCTTGACAGGGCGCAGGCGCCGGCGGGGCTGGCCCTGGAGGTCTGGCGCCACGCGCCTTGTGGTCGTTGGCTTGAGATGGCCATCAGGGCGTAGCTCGTCGATGATATGCCCCCACAGGGCACGGCATGTCGCAGTGGATCTGCCGCGTCAGGAGTTGCCGCGCGTCCTCAACTTGCACCTGCGCACTTCGGAGGGCAGTGCCATTCGAGAAGCCAAGATGCTGCGCGCCGTCGGCGGGAACACGTTGGGCGCCCTCGACCGCGCATCGCAGGCGGCGCAGCATGGCTTCCGCGATTCCAAGTTCCCTGCAGTCGTTCAGGTCAGCACTGTCGCGCCCGGGGCAGTCACTTGCCGCGCAGCGCGGCCCTGTTCGACTAGGTTACTTCGCGCTGCGCCTGGCGGCCACGCGGTCTTGTAAGCATGTGTCGGCTGGTATGGGATGGCCAGTCAATCCCCGTTGGCTTTAACAGTTGTCCGCGGCAGTGAGTGAGAAGTATTTGCAGTGCCTGGTTCACGGCGACGCTCCGAAGCTTCCTGGGGCCCAGGTGCCAGTCCTTCGCGCTGCCGATGAGTGCTGGACAACCGAGGCTGTCCAGGCTGAGCGCGCAGCTCTCGCGGCCATGAAAGAGCGCGCTGACGGAGCTCGCCCCCCCCCCCCCCCCCCCTCACAGCCCGAGCCTAGTTCATGGCCGAGGCGGCGCAGAGGTTATCCCACACTGCGAGCGCTGAGGTGAAGAACTTCAACGCCTTCGCCGGGCGTCTGAACCCAGAGTGGGCGAAGGTATGCTTCGAGACGACAGATCGCGAGAGTGTCCAAACGCGCAGAGGTTTGGCGCTGGCATCGCAACGTTCTCACCTACATCGCCCAGCTTGGCGAGAGCTGCCACGTTGAGGAAGCTGCGAAGCTAGCCGAAGAGATCTCGTCACGTTCAGTCGCTCCGCTCGTCTTCGTCGGCCAGGAGTTGAACCGCAGGCATGGAGCAACAGTCGTTCAAGCTCGGCGCGCAGTAGTGCGCGGCCCGCTGCGGGTTCATACTTGCCGCGCGCTGCTATACGACGCCAGCGATGACCTGCTAGCCGTCGAGCAGGGGACCGGGCGCGGAAACAAAGCTCTTTGGGAGGCTTCGTGCGACAGGGCCAGCGCCGGCGCTTCTCGCGGATTGCGCAGACTCGCGAAGCACAAGGGGGTCCAGCTGTCAACGGTCCTCAGAGGGGCGAGCATGGTGCCACTGCTCATCCACATCATGTCGCCCGAGACATGAAGATTCCCGACGTGCAGGACTGGCGCAGCACGTTGATGGCCCAGCGCGCGCGCATTCCTGACCGTGAGCTGTTGCCCCGCGCGCCCCCGGGCAAATTCCGGGCAGTTACGAAGACTTCTCAGCGACGACGAAAGCAGTGTCAATGGCGCCCACCCCAGGTGTTTCGACTCTCTCAGCGACGAGGCACTGGTTGTCCTCAGCGCGCTGTGGGCGGCGCCTGAATCGCTCGGCCTCCTGCCGAAGCAGCTGCAGCGGCTCCCCTTCCACGTGCTGCCGAAGCCTGGGGGCGGCGAATGCCTCATCGTGGTCTTTGCTGCCCGTTGCCGCGTCTGGCACAGGGCGAGGCGCGCGCGCGCCTGGAGGGCACGGGGCGTTCTCTAGGCATTACGTTTTTTCGGGGGGGGGCGCCCACTGGGGGGTCAGCGATCGACGGCGCCTCGGCGCTGGCAGCTCGCACTGAAGCGTCTGCGTGGGCGTGGGTTCTTCCGCGCGCGACGAGGAGACCGAGTTGGGCGCGCCGCGCTGCAAATTCGACTGCGCGCAGGCGCCCACTGGCTTCGCGGAGCTGATCTTAACCGCGCGGTGTGGGCCGCGCATCGTGCGCTCGCAGCGGCGCCGCGGGGTTGCGGTTGGTTTTACTGCGCGCGGTGCCCCAGCGGACGACGGAGTCGCATGCGTGTCAAGTTCATTATTTTGAAGAACATGGCCGATATCCGTACGCACGCCCGCTGGCGTCTTTCTCCAGCTACATTGATGATTCAGCGGTTGACATTCACTGCAGCGAGTCGAAGACGGTCGACGACACGGCAGTCAAAGCAGGGCGATAGCGACGCCAGGTGGCCCGACGTCGTCAGATACCAGACGGGGCGGCTGGCGACCTGGGAGTCGACCGCTCGGCGGCCCGCGTTCGCTGGGCCCCGGGGGTTCGGGCCTAGCAGCGGTGTCGGGCGCTCAAGTGCAGAATGCGCGTGCACCAGCTGCAGAAGTACAAGCTCGCCATGCTCGCCCATAATGGCTTACGTTTCTGTGGACTCTATTGCACTAGAACTCGACTTACGTTCATGCATGGAGTTTAAGTGCATGGTGCTACGGATGCTGATTTTGAGAGCTGTTCTGAGCGCGTGGGCGACAGGTGCAGCCGCGTCAGTGAGGCACTTCGGAGTCAGCGACGCTTGTTCTTGATTGTGACCCCTCGCTATTGCGAGCAGTGGCGCCCGCTCTTCAGTGGGGCCGAACGCCGTGGGGCGCCATTGCTCGTCCTGGCCGCCCTCGTGAGTTTTCAAAGCAGATGTGCTTCTCTCGCGGGATCCAGCTATTGCGTGCATGAGCAGGCTTGCTAGATTGCAAAGTCACGTGAGCTACTGGAGCGGACAGCCCTTCGTCTTGATCGAGTGGGCTGCACCGATCGCAGTACAGCTGTTT